TTTTTAATAATACTGCATGAGTTCCTTGTTTTTCAATGCAGTGTAGTATTCCATTGTGTGAATATACACAGCTTCTCTATCCATTCATTTGTCGATGGACTGTTTATAGTTTTCACTACAGATCAATTAGGAGAACTTATGCATTTATTCTCCTAATAAAGCAATGGTTATCAGGATTTTTAAAAGAGAAAATTCAAATATTATGTGAAAATATAAAATGGAAAAGCACTCCCCGACCACCCTTCCCACAAAAGATAGGCAATGAGTGGCTGCTGGTATGGATTGTGAGTTAGAAATGACTCGTAGCTGACCCTACTGGATTTGAACCAAGTGCCTTTGGGTTGGCAGAACAACATCCCTACCACTAAACCACCAGAGCGTGTTAGCAGCAAGAATGTAAATTCCACTTGAATGTTCATCCCACCAGCACAGAGAACAGTTGTTATCTTTCATAGCTGTGTTCCTCAAAGCCCTCAGGGATCGCTGATGGAATGAATCTTTCAAATTCTTGGGTCCTGTCCACGTTGTCAGTAAACTTTTTCTTTTGGGACAATTTTCAATTTCCACAAAAGTTGCCACAATCCTGCCTAGAGTTCCAGGACACTTCTCATCTACCTTCTCCTCTTATTAACATCTGACCTAACCAGGGCATATGAGTCACACCCAAGAAGTTAATTCTGAGATCTTGCTGTTAACAAGACTCCAAATTGTACTTACGTTTCACCCACTTTCCTCTTTCTGGTCCGGGAGGTTGCACTTGCTCTTCCTGCTTCCAATCTCTTCAAGTCAACTGCTCTTCATAGAGACCTCAGAGGGTCAGGAGAAGTGTTCCACAAGGTTTCCAAGGTTGTAAACTGCTCGGATGCTGATAGAAAGGTTGGCAGCTGCAATGAACCAGCTGTTCCATGGGCGAAAGATGGGCAATAATCTCCCATTAAGATTTACAGTCTTGAATACGCCGTCCCCTTTCCTTATGAATCAGGGTGAAGTTTCTCTCAGGGAGGAGAGATAGGGAATGGCAAAGGACACACTGACAAAGGAGATTAATCAGAACTAGCTTTGACAAGCACTGTGGCAATTGGACA